GAGCTCAAGGTCAGCCTGAACTGCATAGTGAGACCCTGTCTCAAAAAGAAAAAAAAAAAAAAAAAAAAAAGACTATAAATAAGCCCCTGGCTTATGAATGAATTCTGTTGTAGAACGTTCATAAGTCTGACAAAGTGAGTCTTACACACTTTGGACAAAAATATAGTACAGTGTAAAACATAAAAACACCAAAGGTAAGGCAAATGAACTTTTTTTACTTTTACAGCTACCCTAAAAGGTGATACGGTACAGTACACCTGTAAATAAACTACTTTTACAGTTACCTTAAAATGGTAAGATAGATACAGGAGCTGTTTCCATGATTTGTTTGCATCTATGAATGTTCGGAATTTGAGGTCCACTCATATTTATGTAAGTTGACAACTTGAATGTTTGTAAGTTGGGGACCTACTGTGCAATATTCAGTGCTTTTCCAAAGTTCTGCTAGTTTTGTGCTAGTTATTCTGTGCTAGTTTTACAGCAGCCTTATAAGATCAAATGGAAATGGTATGGGTATTGCTCCCATTTTATAATTGCATAGACTGAGGCTTCAAAAAAGAATTTAAATTATACTCCTGGAGATTTGAAGTGTTTCTTATACCCCCTTTTTTAAAAACCAAAGCTGGGCAAGGTGGTACATGCCTATGATCCCAGCGTTCTGGGAGGCTGAGGCAAGAGAATCACAAGTTCAAGCCAAGCTTGAGCACTTCAGCAACTTAGCAAGACCTTAAGATAAAAAAAGGAGTGAGGATGTAATTTCATGTGAAGGCCCTAGCTTCGATCCCAAATACTGAGGTGGGGATGCAACCAAGAATTAATCAGAAAATAGAGAACAACTTGGAAAAAGAAAATTTCAGCACATTGCCCCAGAAGGAATGGTTTAAGGAACTGGACGTAGCCTGAAGAGGAGAGGGCCTTGGATCACAAGTGCTGCCCAAGTCCAGGGGAGGGGCTGGTGTGCTGGAGGAGGTGGGGTATAGAGGATTGGGTGCTTGTGGGGATCATGTAGGTTCAATATGGTTTCTTGATGTATAATGGGGGCCAATGGATGAAAGCTTCAGGGAAACCATAACCGTGAGTTAGGGGAACACTTCTATTCCAGTTAGTTTCAGGACTAGGAAGCCCCATCCTTGGAGTGATCAGAGCACAGATGGGGCAGGGATAACATGGGATGGGTGCTTGGTCAGCATTGCCTCTGCTTGGCTGTGCTTTAGGATCATCAGGCAAGCTTTGAGAAAATACAGACTCCCAGGACCTTCCTCCCTGCCCAAGATTTGGTTCAGCAAATATGAGTGGGCAGAGGCAATAACCTTTCCATAAAGTAGTTCCTTAGGAGATCATGATACAGTTGATTGAGAGTAACATTTGACAGTTTTAAAACTAGTTGGATTTCTGTCGCTTAAGGTGATCTACCTGTGACAGACTCTGAAGCTAGCCTTTCTGGCTTCCAGTTTAGCTTTGCCACTTGTTACTTGTGCGATGGATTACTGAGTTTCCACGGTTTTTTTTTGTCTTCCATTGCAAAATGGTGACAATGTTTTGAATGTCAAGGGTATATGTATATATGTATTTGTGCACGTACACATAAGTATAGCCAGTATTAGAACAATTCCTGGAACATAATAAGTACTGAATAAATGTTAGCTATTGTTACTGTTATTAATATATCATCATGCCTTCCTAGTGGTCCCATTACCAAATTTAGAACTAGCCTGTTTTCTCTGCTTTTACTATCCTGATGGATTCACAAAGTCCTGAGATATAAAGGGCTAGAAAGGGCCCCCCATTGACATCCATCCAGTCACCCATCCATCTGTCTGTCTTATCTTTATATGTATTTCAAATAGTGAAGACCTTAGTGGGCTTTTTTAGTCTCAGCTAGGTAACAAGGCTATACAAGCCCTGTACAAGCAGGCATGGGCAGATTTTAGTAGCACTGACATATGCTGGGCTTATGGTAAGGCCTGAAAACCCAGGCTTGGATGCCCAGAGGACAGAGTTCTGTCTAAATCTCTCCAGTTATAGTTTGTTTCTTCCTTCCCCTTAGAAGTCAGAATGAGGGAGTTGTCTGATGAATATCCTTAAGGTAGTTCCATTAAAGAACAGGGTGGAAATTGAGGCTGGGAGGTAAGATGCCAGGATTTGGGGAACCAGCAACATTGGCAGTGTATGGAAGTCATATGCTTGTCTGGAGCCCCTCAGGGGCTTGACGTTGATCCTAGTACCTCAGTGCTGGGGCCGGAGTTCTGCAGCTCACTTTGATTGGGTCTTCAGGTCTCTGCTATGTTTTCATTCTGGTGTCCCATGGGTCCACTGCTGGAAGGACACTTGTCCCCTTCCCTTTGATAGTACAGAGCTCAGTTGTCAGATTTAATGGCCAAGCCAAGTATGTTTCTGTGTTGTGGATCTTCTGCCATCTAGTGTGGAGAGTTTATAATCACATGGGTATAAAAAGGCAGAAACCCCAACAGTACTGCCCCATTGGTGAGTCTGAAAGATGTGTTACAGAGACAGTCCCAGAGCAGGAAGGATCTTAATAGCTTGATTAGTTTATTGCCTTTTAGACTTACTAATATAGAAATCTTCTACAAACACACTGTGTTATGGGAACAAAATGTGTAAACCAAGAAACCAGAATTGCCCTGGCTGAGCCGTCACCCAGCCCCTCCTCATTGCTACCCTCTTGCAGTGCTCTCTGTGCCACCCAGAAGGGCAGTCTGAAAGACATGGACTGAGTCAGCCTCCATCCTAAGTGAGGAAATCAGGGCCAGGAGAGGTTAAATCAATTACTGCAGTCACAGAGTAAGTAGGAGAGCAGAGAATTAAACCCCACTTATCTTTCTCTTTCACCTGTTCCTCTTTATGTCCCCTGACCAGTCCATGGAGTCCTCTGTGACTGATCCTCAAAAAGGCAGCAAGAAAAGATTTAAGGTTTCACTGATTCCTAGGAGACCCAGAACACAGAAATATTGAATCTCCTTGTTGCTGTCCCCGGTACCCCATTACAGCCTGTTTTCCTGGGTAGCAGCACTCCAAAGGGAAGAACTCAGCTGACCTTGCCTGCTGCCCCTGATGCTACACCTTGGCCTTGGGAAGGGGGATCACGGATCCTGCTGTAGCTTGAGAGCAGCCTTCCAAACTTAGGACCACATGTGGCTTAGGAACAAGAGAACTTTGGTCCCCCAGAAGCTTGTGGAGACTTCCTAGAGACAGGCAGGTGACAGTCCCACCGGGTCAGAATAACAGCCATTCAAACTGGTCCTGTCCACCAGCTCCTCCCAGAGGAAGGAAGCGTGTGCAAGGCCTGAAGCTGGGGCCTTTGGTACAGTGAGGAGACCCATTTCTCTTGGGGAGCAGTGTGGGTGGCCGTACGCACACAGATTATCAGAGGTCTGGATAAGCTCATGTATGCCACACGTTGAACTTTTGGGGGAACAGAGTGTTTTGAGGGCCTCCCACTGTTATTTCAACGTAGGATCTTCACAGCCCTCACCCTTAATGCTTCTGCCAAAAAGCCACCCTGATAGTGCAGCTCTGGCCTCTTGCTTTCAGGGAGCTGTGCTTGGCTCTTTCAGGACTTCTGGTACAACCATGGCACCTCCCTGGAGAGGACAGGCCCAGGACATGGACACTTGGTGGCAAAGACAGCCTAGACCTGGCTGTCCACTGCAGTGTGACACGGGGATGTATGCATCCCGGAGGCCAAGGATCTGGATTGGGGTCTTCGGCTTCAGTGCCATGGAGGAGCTGCCTCTTTGTTCTCCTGATCCCATTACCCTAGTTGTTGTTTATTTTGTTTTGTTTTTGTTTTCTTAATGCTGGGAATTGAACCCAGGGCCTTTCATGTGCTAGATAAGCACTTTATCACTGAGCTACATCCCCGGCCCTTTAAAAAATTTTACTTTGCTACAGTGTCTGGATGACTTACCCAGACTGACCAGTTCTCCTGCCTCAGCCTCCCAAAGGCTAGAATTACAGGCCTGTGACACCATGTATACCTCTGTTTCCCTTTTTTTTAAGTGCAAGGTCTGCTGTCTTTGGTCCTCTTTGCTCAGGAGCACTGCTAGTGACAGTGGCTTCAGGGACTTACTCTTAGAACATGTATGGGTTTGGCTGCCGCTCACTCACCGAGCCAGGCGCAGAGGTCAGACCTTGAGCTGAATCCTTACAGAGTGGTGAGAGTAAGTGGCAGAGCTGCGTGTTCCTGACAGGAGTGAGGGGAGTGGCTGCTGAGACAATGAGCCAGTAGGTCCACCTATCTGGAGGGTGCAGAGCGGGGCGAGGAGTGGCAGAGGTGGGGCTGGGTAGGTAGGCAACCCCAGAGTGAGGCGATTGAGACCCAGCAGAGCAGCTGATTCAGCTTGTCAAGGGGGTGTCGATTTCACACTGGATGCTAGAGGTGCCCTCTGCCTTTAGAAACATGGACCGTGGAGCCAGAGTGCAGGCTTCGGGTCCCATAGACAGAGGACCCTGGTGCAAGTGTGGCATTGTGGCTGCACAGGACACTCAGTGGTGAATCCTGCAGTTGCTGTACTTGAGTAGCACAGAAGAGAAGAGGGGGCGTGGCAAGAGATTCTAACCTAAGACACACCAACTTCTTCACAGAAACCAGGGAGAGTTTAGCACAAGAAGGGACGGCAGCACAGGGCAGCGCTGTGGGGACTACTGACCCAGTGGTGTGGGCACTGGAGGCACAGTTCAGAGAGCCCCTTCTGAAGGACGCAGACCAAGGCCTGTCAGGCTGTGGCTGGAGAAGGGGTTCTGCCAGCCTTGCCTTTAAAAGCCCTCCACGCTCCCTTGGCACACCTTTACACCGGGCTGCCTGCTTCCTGGGCCTCAAGTCTTGAGGATGTCCAGCAGCCCCACTCACCCACAGTCTGCCCCACAGCCCCCCTGAGGCCCCTTTCTGTTTTGCAGCAACTGCCTGCATGTGGTGGAGCCCATGCCGGTGCCCGGCCACGACGTGGAGGCCTACTGCCTGCTGTGTGAGTGCAAATACGAGGAGCGCAGCACCACCACCATCAAGGTACCTTCACCCCATGCCTGGGCCGGACTCACCCTCTGCGACCCCTGCTGTCCTACTCCTGAAGTCTCTGCTTTGTTCTGTGGGATGCCTTGAGGCTGGCCTTACGCAAACACAAGGTCCCCTGGCCACACTTCTGCAGCTGTCTCCTCTTATCAGTGGCGCCCATCCACTGAGGTGGGAGTCCTGGAGAGTGGCTTGAGACTGTTTTTTGCTCCCCTGCTTTCCAGTTTTTTCCTTCCTCTCTCTCCTCTGTGCTTTCGGTATCTCTGTTTTGGGTGCCAGTCATGTGTGCGCCATGCTGGGGTAGAGAGGGAAGCTCGCCCTCCTATAGCTCACAGTCACCTCTGTGACCAGTGCACAGAGCTGTGGACAAGTGCTGGGCATCAGACACTGGCACCTGGGCTCCTTTGCTTTCTCCTGAGCCTTGTTCTCAGCAACCATTTGGGTGAACTCGGGAGAGAGGCAGCAGCACAGCCACCGCCGTGGGGAGTGAGGAAGGATGCCAGGGCCCGTCTTTGTCCCTTTCTCCTCACTGAAGCACAACAGCTCCAGGGGGAGTCTGTTTTGGTTCACGGTTCGGTGTGTGGTCTGCTGAGCCCCAGCAAGAAACAGCCTAGCAGAGGGGCCTGGCGGAGGGCAGCTGCTCGTGTCATGGCAGCCGGGAAGCAGAGGGCGAGGAAGGGAGCTGGGGAGGGAGATAAACCTTTCTGGGTCACACGCCCAGTGACCCACCTTTTCTGACCAGACCCCACCTCCTCACAGCAGGCTAACCATGAGCCCCTGTAATCCAATCGCTTCGCAAAACCACACTGCTCTGAGGGCCATTTTAGAGCTAACAAGGTCCCTGTCCCTTCCCTTGCTAATGAGCAGGACTCAACCGGAGGCCATGAAGCCACCCTTCCTGTGGTTAAGCTTATTTTTGTTTGTCCTCTGAAAAGTGTAGAAACCACATCAGCAGATAACCCTCATGAGTTTTAGGATGCTGCTGTGTCCTCCCTTGGGCTCCTGCTTTTGAGACATGATTGGAAGGGAGGTGGGTTTCATGGCATTCCTCCCTGCCTGCCCTAGGGAGCCCTGGCTTTTCCCCAGCTGTGGACGCCTTCTTGTTCTCACCCTTCAGATGGGAAGCAGCTCTCTGCGGCCCCCAGTATTTCCCTGTAGGCTGTGTAGGCCACACTCTGTTCATCCTCCTGCTCCTGGGCCAGCCCTTTCTGGAGTCTCTGTCACCATCTCTGAGCTTTTTTCCTGGTGAGCCCCACCCTCTGGAGACCAGATGCCTGAGACCTTCAATTCAGAGCCAGATGTTGCCTCTCCCTGTTTGCCAGGGTAGGGACCTCATAAGACACAACCTCCTAACACCTCACATTTCCTTCCAGTGCTTCTGCCTAGAGCCTAACCCCCTTTACTCTGGACAGATCCAACCTCCATTCTCCTTGCCTGTCCTGGGTAGAGGCAAGAGGTGTGATTATTCACCCTGTTTAGAGAGCCATGAACACTGGTGTTCCCATCCAGGAGGAAGTTGGGCCTGTTGAACTTAGCTGATAGCTAAGCTGGGCAACAAATTTGAAAGACCCAAGATTCTCCTTTTATTTTTAATCCCATTTTGCTGTCAAGTCAGAAGCCAGTGGTGGTTAAGTGTTGTGGAGGTAAAAAGCATTTGAGATGAAGTCAGCAAAGCTGGTTCAAGTTACATCTTGACTAGCCTTGGGCTCTCAGGTGAATTGTGTAGTCTTGTGGTTCGCAATAAACTGTTACTGCCCCTTCCCAGGGGTGTTTTGAGAGAGTGAAGATGCTTTTGTGGTCCCAGTAACTGAGCAGTATTACTGACATCATTAAAAGGAATATGGGGCTGAATGTCATAGAGGGTCCCGCCTGAGATGCCCACAGCACCATACTGAAGCAGCCTCATTAAGCCAATCCTTTCTGTAAGATCATTTCTCCAGCTTGGGAGGCTCTATTTGTAAGAGATTGTTATCCTAACATGGCCTTCCTCACCCCTCAAGGAAGGTAGGGTGGCCTCAGCCCTCCAGTGCACAGCCTTTTGCCCATCTGTCCCTCCCTGAACAGTGGCACACTGTGAGTGGGCCTTGTGCCCTCCCAGGACACAAGCCATTCACCCTGTCACCCTGCACAGTGAGCCCACATGCCCAGGCTTACTTTTCCTGGCCTCTGCACTCCAGCCTCTCTGCCTCATTCTTACAGCAGGTGGAATCGGCTTCCCCTCCCTCACAGCGGGAGCCTCTCAAATGTCCATCTGCCATCTTTACGCCTGTCAGAGCACTCAGTGTGGGACTCCCTTGGGTAGGATACAGCTGGTCAGCTGGTGTGGGCCATTCCTGTCCCTTCCTGGTGTCCTGCCCTCCACACCATGCCACCTCCTCGTCCTTCCTGGTGCAGCCCTTGAGGGGTCACCATCCGCAGAACCCAGGGGAAACAAGACCAGAAATGGATTTCTGCCTGGCCATGGATATTGGTTCACAGGGTAAGCTGTGTCTCCCACAGGTCATCATCGTCATCTACTTGTCCGTGGTGGGGGCCCTCCTCCTCTACATGGCCTTCCTGATGCTGGTGGACCCTCTCATTCGAAAGCCAGATGCTTATACGGAGCAACTGCATAATGAAGAAGAGAATGAGGTAACGGGGCCCTGGTTCCAGCAAGCCTTGGGGCAGATCCCAGAAAAGCATCCCTTGGGCCTCATGTAGATTAGCGTCCCCCATCCTGCCTCAGGCTCCAGGTTTCCCTTATGTCACCCAGACTCAGCAAGGCACTGTCCTGTGTGCATCCAGATGAAGCATCAGGTGTGCCTAAATTTCCTGACATAGTACACAGCCTCAGTGCACAGGTGGGAGAGCTGTGTCTCTCTGGTATGCCACATTGCTAGGCAGAAGGAAGTGAGCTAACCAGGGCCATTCGTGGGTGGAGACACGTAATATCCTGCTTGCTTAGTCCTTAGTGGACTTGGGAGCTGTCTTGGTTACTTTTCTCTCATTGCTGAGATAAAATACCCGACACCCAGAATTAAGGAAAGGTTTATTTAGCTCACAGTTTGTGGAGGTTTCAGTCCATCCTCGGCTGGCTCCAAGGCAGAGTGGCACATGGCAGAAGGCAACAGTTCTTGCAGCAGAAAACAGCAAGGGCAGCAAGAGCCAAAGGGGCAAAAGGGAAAAGGAGAGAGGGGCAAGCCTCTTTCCCTCCCTTACATTGTAGGCAGGCTGTCCACCCCAGGGCGGGTGTAGCACTCAAATCCATAATCCCAGCATTGGACCACGGATCAATCACAGACTCTAGAAGCCTGCCCCATGACTGCATGAGGCTTTGGGGGACATCTAGACACAAACTGTAACAGAGTCCTCAGGTTTATTCTGTAGGTCAGTGCTTGCACAAATGTCTCTGGCAGCGGTGGTAGACCTATCACATGGTGCCACAGCGGGCTGTTTGTATCATTGAAAGCTGTGCAAGGTTTGCCATCACTGGTCTATAGAGTACTTGCTCTGCGGGCTGGAGGCTGAAGTAGGACCGTAAGAGCCAGAGGAGTAAGGGGGATGGCTGTGCATGTGTGAGGAACTTGAGCATCAAGGATAGGATAGGCATCCAGGAATATCAGCAGATAGAGCTGGTCAGAAAGGTGAAGCCAGATTAATAAAGGCCTCAAGGTCAAGCTGTGAGGTTTTGACTTTACATGATAAGAAAGATGAGGCGCCACTGACACCAGGCAGCCTGGAAACCCTATCTGGGGGACGGACTGTGTGGCTGAGCTCTGTCTCTAACGCCTCACTGCTGGAAGGTACTCCTGTCTACTGCAAAGTGAGTGAGTGAGCACCTAGTGAGGACATACCTCACCCACATTCCAGAAGTTTAAGTTGAAGGAACTTGGAGATAGCTTGAACAAAATAACGCAAACTCAAAGAGGCACACACCAGTTGCCGTCAGGTATACGTAGAGCAGAGCCTACCCCTCCCCAATCCCCAGGGATAGAAGGACCCACAGGTGGGGTTAGAGGGAGGTTTAACATGACAGTGTAAGATGGAGTCAGGCACACAGCATGGTCTCATGCTCGAGTGACTGGGCTCCCTTATAAGGTGGTGAGTTGTGGGTCACTGGAGGTAACCAGGTGTAGGCTGAGCTGCCCTTGGCAGTGGGACTTTAAAGCTTTTCAAGTCCTAGATTGGAGGCTGGAAAGGGCATGTTCCCCACCAGAAAGAGAATTGGGGGCCCAGTTGTGCATGAAACTGCCCAGGTAGTTTGGGTCTGGACCAGCACGGGCAGGGAGGACAAGGGCAAGTCAGGAGGAAGAGAGGGAGGCTTGGCTGCTCCCTCTGCCCCATTGCTTCTCCTGGGTTGTGCCTGGACTGTTCCCAGTCTGTCCCCAGCCTCTTGCTGGCATGAATTTGGCCAAAGGAGCTGGGGCCTGGAAGGTGGGGGGGGGCTGGCAGTTGGGTGGTCTGTGCTAAAGAGGAAAGCCTGCGTGCCTACCCAGTTATTAATGTAGAGTAATAGCACCTCTGATAAGGGAGGAACATCGCTAATAAACACTCAGCGATTAGGGGTAATGTGCTAATTGCAGCCCTGGCCGAGGAGTAATTGAGAGAGGCAGCCGATGATTACATGGCCTGTGCTGCGATTTCCCTGGAATGCATGACTCTCGGGCACAGCCTTCTTGTGTCTCTTGCCATCCTAAATATGGAGCCAGAGGAAGGGCAGTTGCCATCTCTGGGTCTGAGCCCGCTCTTTCCTGCAAGAGAGCTGGGTGCTTCTCACTTGGAGTCTGTCTGTGGGCAGCCTTGGAGGAAGGAGGGCTTAGGTTTGGTCAGTCTCATTCTGGAGACACGACCTGAATCAGGGAGTGGACGTCTCCTGGGTGGGTTTGGCTTGGAATGCCTGTGGTTAAGGTCCCTGTGCTTAACCGCAGGGAAGGGTACGCTTATGGGCTGTCATAAGCAGCAGTGAGCCTGAGCGGGTGAGTCTGTGCACCATCTGTAAAGGAGAGTCCTCCTTGGATAGATGGGAACCCACCACTCCCACTGTGAGGCTCAGAAGAGTTGTATAAAGTTGTGTTTGGTCTCTTGGAGATGCTGACTGGGGGTGCAGCCAGCTCTGGCTGATGGCACACTTACCTGGGGGCTGGGGCAGGATAGAGTTCACTGGGTACCCTTAGGGTGGGTTAGGAAATACTGTCTAGTCCCATTCATTGGCATCACCTCTGCGTTTCCTTGCCCTGTGATACCATGTGGCCCAGCTGCAGATACCTGTGGTCCAGCAGCTGCACTTCTGTCCTGTGTTCAGGCATCCAGTAGGTGGTGCTGTGCACAGAGTAGTACAGACCCGGGCTGCCTGCAGACACAGCCAAGGCGGTCAAAGCCCGGTGAATGAGCAGGAGCATAAAAGTTATTGGTAAGGTCTGGCTTTGTTACCTGGGCAATCAGGTGAAGAAGCTGGGTGCTTTGGAGGAGCCTCTGGACTAGATAAGAGGGGAAAGTTGCCCTTCCCTTTGTGCTGGTCACAAAGGCAGGCTTTCTGGCAGAGGGAGACCTTCAGAGCCAGCCCAGAGGGTAGATGGGAGAGGGAGTGCTGATTGCATTAGGAAGGATGGCAGCCTTAGACTGGAGAGAGAGCCAGAAACCAGTGACCCTGGTCCTGGACAGTGAGGGCAGTCTCCTGCTCTCTCAGTGCCCCTAAGGAAGGGATGTCGGGGTTTGGGGGCCAGTGGGAGAGAGAGGTCCCAAGGCCTCCCAGCTACACAGTGGCAAAGGCAAGGCCTAGAACTTTTCCTTAAGGAAGAGACAAGAAAGACCAGGTGTCCCTGGGCTGGAAGAACCTAGCTTTCACCCTCAAGAGGAAGAAAGTGCAAATGCAGTTCCTGTCCTTAAGCACATAGAAGGGGTCCCTGTGAGGTCGTAGGTTGTCACAGGCAGCACTCAGCTGGAGCTGGCGATCCTGTGCCCCATGTGTAGAGGGATCCTTAGCACACAGTTCCTTGAGTGTTCCCCAGACTGCCTAGTGACCGGTGACTGCAGAAGGAAAACTCTCTGGGCCTCTAGCCCCTCGCTGAGAGCCTGGGAAGCAGCCAGAGATGGGAGCTGGAGGATGGAGCACTCATCAGGTCCAGGGGCTCCTTGGTTCCATCTCCTCAATTGCTTCAGCCAGGAGCTCTCCTGCCGTGGGGCAAGAGGACTGGAAGAGGAAGGGGCGCCCCCCGCCCCACAGCTCAGCCCATCTCAACCCGAGTCCGTGAAGGGAGATGAAAGCCTGTCATGCTCCCTTTGAAAGCTCTGGCAGAGCCTCAGTGGGCCTGATTGCTGGGCGCTGCCTCCCCTGGGATTCCAGCAGCATTAGGACTAATCCCTGGGCTCAGACGCCCTTTGAAAGGAGGAAGCCAGCATGTTTTTTGGGACAGAAATGGCAACAAAGCTATTTAGACGTACAGGTCTGGCCCTCTTTGAAGAGACAGAAATGAGGGTTTTCTCTGTGGCTCGGGCTGGCTCTGCTGCTCACCCTGAGCTCTGACAGGGTCTTCAAAATTCTGACCCCCATGGGGCAGTGGGCATAGTTCTGAGCCCAGTGGGAGAGGGGTGTGCAGAATAATAAAAGATGTCGAGGGTGATAAGAACAGGGGCCGTGTATGGACTGAGAGAAGAAAACCCTGGGCCCACAGAGGACCTGTTCCCCTTTCCTGGCAGAGGCCAGGGAGGCAGCTGTGTGCAGAGGACCTGGGCAGTGGGGACAGACAGTGAATCCTTGAGAAGCCACATGCTGATGAGGGCAGTTCAGAGCCTCTTTGCCTGAGGACAGAATGGGAAGGTGCTGCTTGAAGACATTTCTAGGACACGTGTTAGGGGAAGCACAGCATGGTAGCTGGGAGCAGGGCTGTGAGGTCCCAGTATGCAGTCCAGCTCTGCCCCTCACTGTCCTGGGTGCTGATCTCGTAGTTTAGGTGTCTCAATCTGGAGTGGATAAAGTAGTTCCTACCTCGACATCATTGCTGTATTAATGCACATGGAGGCTTTATGAAGTTGGACCATCCTTAAGGATGCAGTGTTTCAGTCAGGTGTCAGTGTGTGAGTAGCATGGTGATCGCTGGAGAAAGGCTGAGGGCAGGGTCCGCAGGGCGTGGGTGAGGGGGACCTGCACATAGACACAGGACAGAGCGTGCGGCTGAAGGCGAGTGTGGGAGACAGGGCCGAGAGTGAGACTCGTGCGGCTCAGAGTGCCAAGGGAGCCGTGCTCAGCAGCGATGTGCCTTTGCGTAGCTGTGTCACTGCCCACCACCCCTCCACCCCCAGTTCTTGAGCAGGGGACGGACTATTTGGTATGTCAGAGGCTGGAGTCAGGGAGAGCCTGGGAGTAGAGAGATGCGGGCAGGGGGTTGCTGCAGCAGGAAGGGCTAGGGTTAAACCTGGACACCCCAGAGAGATTGTGTAGTCACCTTTCCAAAGGGCTCAGCACAGGGGCCCTTCTTCCTTGCTTGTTGGGTTGGTTGAGGGGGCTGGGTCCTCCCTCGGTGCCGGACTGGGGAACGAGGAGAAGGACAGGCAGAAAGAAGGAGCAGGTTGGTCTGCTTGTCATCAGCCTGGTGCCCACTGACAGCCAGTATTCCCGGGGCACTACACAGGTTTCCCCGGGATGATGTGGGCCCCCGAGTAACCACACAGTGCTGGCTCTCCCTGGGCCTGAGAGGAGGGCCCGGCAGGACGCTCCCAACCCTGTGGCCTTTGTGGGCACTTTGGTCTCACTTGAACCCTGGGAGAAGAAAGCTGCCTGCTACTTTGGTTGTCCACTTGGGCTCCTCTCAGGAAAAGCTAGCCAGAGCTAGCTCCTCTCAGGAAGATGCAGCTAAGTCCCAGGATAAGAGACACAGATGTGGGGCAAGTCCCAACTCAGCCCCGAGTCCCAACTCAGCCCCGACGAGCTGCGTAGCCTTGGGTAGCAAGATGATGCCTCCTCAGAGCTTCAGTTTCCCCGTCCACAGGATGGGGATGTTAATGCCCATTTGGTAGTGTCATGAGCCCAGGAGTAATCAGGCCTGGCAGTAGGCCGGGACAGAGTGTCGCTTCTCAGTCACACTAGTCTGGTTGCCTGGAGACCTCCGAGGAACCCCCCCACCTCCGTGTCCACAATGCAACAGAGCCCAGCCCTCTCCTAACTGCCTTCCACTCCCCTGTGTACCCCGAGACTCGACCTCAGAGGGAAAGGGGTGAGAAGTTGGTAGCCTCTCTGCCATCACCTGTCATCACAGGCGGGTATGCAGCCTGCACCGGGCCGCAGGTAGGACAGTTGTGGAGTCTTTAATACCTTTAATCAGACTATTAGCAGTGGGAGCCCGGCGCCTCTCTGCAGTGGCTTTCCCCACTTAGGAGCTGTTTGCTGGGACTTTACATGAAGGGCTAACAAATGACGCTGCGGTAATGTGGTGAATTTCAGCACGTTCCCTTAATGCCCTGCTCTTGGCTTCCCTGCCTTCCCCTCCTCCTCGTGATGCCTTGGGAGCAGAGTGGTGAAAGGAAGCAGGGCTGACACTTGCCCACCCTTCCAGGCCTGTCCCCAAGGACCATACCCCCTGCTTCTCAGCTCACAGCCAGATACCCCTCCCTGAGCCCTGCAGGGACACGCTAGCCCCAGGTGGGATGAGATTGGGAATGAGGAGGAAGGGAAGCCCTTCTGGGGCCCAGAACCAGTGTGGCTAAGTCCTGGTGGGCCAGCAGCTTCCCAGGCAGGTGGGTTTCCCATGCGCATCTCATCCTGACAGGAAGAACTGGGCAGAGGCGGCACCTCCTGAGCACAGACAGTGCAGGTAGTGCAGCTGAGCTGGGGAGGGACGAGTGGGAAGTCATGCACCAGACAGTCACTGTCCCGAGGCAGCTTTGCCAGCAGCAAACTGTGCTTTCCACACCTACCCCTACCTAAGTGGATCCCAGAACTAGCGACTGCTACTGACCATTGCTGTGGCTAATTGAGCACTTCCTGCCTGCTGGGCACTGCCAAATGCTGTCCATTCAATGTTCCACTGCAAAGCTGCCTCCTCTGAGGGACAGAGAAATTGGTTCACCAAAGAAGATAACTTGCCCATTATACATCTGGTAGGGGTCAGAGCTAGCAAAGTCAGGTTTGATTCCACTGTCTTCCTAACCACTGCAGAACTGCAGAGAAGGAAACTAGACATTTCTTGAGCTCCTGCTGTGTGACTGCCACTTTACCCAGTGCTTGATGTATGACTTGACTTAGCCATGCCCCACTCATCATACACAGTGTTTTACACACTGTGGATCACAACCCACTGGGTCATGAAGTGATTGTGGGACTCGTGACCAGGATTTTTAAGAAATGAAATGAGCAGGCATGGTGATGTATGTCTACACTGTAATCCCAGTACTCTGAGAGGCTGAGGCAAGAGGACTGCCAGTTCCAGCCCAGCATGAGCAATTTAGAAATGAGACCAAGTCTAAAATGAATGAAGCAACGAATGAGTGAATGGGAATGTAGCTCAGTGTGAAAGCTGAGGGTTCAGTGTCCAGTACTGCAAAAACAAAAAAATACCCTCCCCCTCGAAATGCAGCAGAACAGGGAATATCACAATGCGTCATACACATACTGTTTTGTAAAACTTGTTTCATTCTGTGTGTGTGTCCTGGATCATCAGGTAATTATAATTCCCACTGATAGCATTGTGGAAGAAAGTCTCAAAGACTAGGTTTGTTAGGTTGAAGCATGGAGAAATAAAGTGACTCGTCCAGGGACACAGAGCTGCCAGCTGTCTGAGGCCATGTGTCATCCTTCCAGCATCTTGTTTGGGCCTGTGGTTCTGCCTGAGATGGACACAGGGAGGTTTGAGGCCAGAGGGGCAGGTAACCTCTGGCCTAGGCATAGAACCCAGGGATCCTAATTCCAAGCTGGTGCGCCCCTGCCTGATACTGCCAGCACCACACAAGCCTCACCTATCCTGGCGAGGAAAGCTTTCCTGAGGGTCCTGGTCCAGGGACTCCTAGAGACCCGTGTCCACTTTAGCGATGAGTGTGCATGAGACGAATGACTCAGCTGTGCGGCAAGTGTGATGAAGTCTCTCCCAGCCCCTTCTCTAGCCTGCCACCTCTGTGCATTACCAGCCCATCTCTGCTTCCCGCCCCTCCTCGCTGCCCACCCTCCTCCCCAGCCTGGCAGCTGTTTGACGACAGAAGCTGTGCCAGCTCAGGGCATTAGAAGCAAAGTTGCATTTACTGGGAGGCTCTGGGCTTAGTGGGGTGCACTAATCCTTTAAGAGATGTATGGCAGGAGATGAGAGGCAGGGAGAGCTAGGGAGGAAATCCCCATGGGGCTGTGGGCCTGGCCCTCGGCTCTAATTCTCCCCAAAGATCAGGTTTGGGTCCTGCAGGAAATGCACAGGCTCCGGAGCTTCAGAGGCAGAGAAGTGGTAATTAGGGAGGACTGACAACAGGAACGGGTCTGAGAGCAAAGGGGAAGGAGAGCATGGCGGGCCGCGCAGGGAAGGAGCCAGGCTGTCCTAGGCTATCAGGAGGGAGCAGGCACAGCAGGCTCTGGAATGGGAACCCTGGGGTCAAGCCTGACATTGCCATTCCTGCCAGCCCCTTGGAGTGATATCACACCCCCTGCCTCGCAGGGAAAGGAAGCTTGATGTGTAGTGGGCCCTCACTGATCAGAGCAGACCCTGAGGGTACCTCTGCCTCCCTGAGTGAGGTCTTAAAGTCAACACTTACTATTCCTCTTGAATGGTAGTGACAGGTATGTGGGGTTCAGACTGGGAGCCTGACCTGGGCCAGCTGTGTTGGGTAACTGGGGTTTGAGAACCTACTCCCCCTGCCCCTGGAGGAGTGAGACCCCATCTTGCAGACCCTGCTATGCACGCATCTGGCTTCCGCAGTGGTAAGACAGGGTCTTCGGGGAGCCTACAGCCCTGGAGAGGCCGGACTTTAGCATCGCTCCTGGGGCATCCATTCCATGTTAGATTTTCAAGCTCCCAGCCGCTGTGGTCCCTGTGCCAGATCTCTTCTTTTCTTTTTCCCACTCCAGGATGCACGGTGTGTGGCAGCCGCTGCCACATCTCTTGGGGGACCCCGAGCCAACACTGTCCTAGAGCGCATGGAAGGTGCTCAGCAGCGGTGGAAGCTGCAGGTGCAGGAGCAGCGCAAGACAGTCTTCGACCGGCACAAGATGCTCAGCTAGATGGGTTGGTGTGGGCGAGTCAAGAACCCAGGCCATGGCTGCCACCTCCAGGGCTGGACAAAGCCAGGGGCCACTTCTCTGCCCTCCATGCCTGTCTTCCTTTGAAAAGCCCGTGTCATTTTTCCTTTTCTCCTACTCTATAGAAATGTACTTGGTTATTTTGATGAGGGAGTATGACGGGGTCTCTGATCTCCCTTGTCTCCTGAGGTCTCTGGGGTAGAGGGAAGGCAGGCCAAAGAAGAATGGAGGCATCAGAGGCGGCCTTAGGATTGGATGGAATTGGTTTCTTCTTGCTTTACCTCTGCCACCCCTTTTGGCTTCACCCCTTGGGGACTTTATTACCCTTTAGGAGATGGAGTAGGTCATTAGAGGAACACACGACCCAGCATTCAGCATGGGCTTCTGTCTGCTGTGGTTCTAATCCTCCTCCTGGTCCTAAGTGTGGCCAGGCCCCAGCCCTCAGGAATGGCACTGGTGGGAGAACCGGTGCTGCTGAGCCTGTGGAAGTTCTCAGGGTACCTGGGAGCTTGGCTGCTTTCTCCCTGGGCTCCTCATCTACCAATGCATGGCAGTGCCGGGCATCCCTGTTTCCTGCACTGCGTGTCCTCACATTCCATCTCGGGCCAGGTCCTCTTCTCGGCTAGTGTCTGCTGTTACTGAGCCGGAAAGTCACACACAGGCTAAGCAGTGGACTGAAACACTATAGCTCCTGTCCCTGGTTCACCACATGTCCCTGAATGTCATGGTACCAGTGCATGGAGATAAATGTTTGTCCTGTTGTCTGTAAATCAAGGAAGCCATCATTAAATTGTTCTATTTCTCTCACTTTTTGGATTTTAAAGAGTTTTGTTTTTAAATAATTAAGAGAGTGTTTCACAAGTGACCTGGTAAACATAGTATCCAGAGAGGGGACAGAGCACATTGTCTTGGGGAGGTCCTGGCAGACAGGCAGAGGCTTGTAGCACCCAGGTAGCTGTGGCTGAGCCATGGTGGGATCCAGGTGGAGCCCAGGGCTCACTGAAGCCCCTATCACCTGTTGACGGTGGAGACCAGCAGGCTGGGGGCGCTGCTGCCCAAGACTCCCTCACTGTGGAGAGCCAGGGTGAGCTGGCCCTGGGAATTGACCTGAGATTTTGTTTACTTGCACTTTATGAGATTATCCTCACTGCCTGATGTCATCCCCATATTCTGCAGATATAAGAAGTGGTGCTCACTGCAAAGTGTCCTTAAATGAAACTCAGCAGGTGTTAGGAGGTGCCAGGCAAACAAGAAAACAGCATCCTGGCACCCATCCCCAATCCAGCTCCATCCCAGTAAGTGCAGAGTGGGTTGGGCACCTTGGGGACCAGAGGATCAAGTTGAAGTTTCTTTCCTTGGGTTTGTCCAGAGGAACATGTTGAGAAACTTTTGTGTCAAGCCCCTGCTGGGTTCCTGAAGAGGTAGTAGGCGAGAGAACAACTTGAGGTGGAGTTTCAGCTCGCAAAGATTGCCAGTGATCAGAACCAGTTCAAGTACTAAAGGGGATGGGAGTGGGTGGCATGCAGATGGGGTTTCTAGGAGGAAAAGACGCAGCATTTGACATTGAAAGCAAGTAAGCAACACAGGTGAGCGGGCACCAAGCTGATTGTGGGATCCTGAGCAAGCTTGCTTAGCTGACATGAGGTCTGTGGGGAGGGTTAACAGGCGAAATCTGTGTCATAAATGCAAGACTGGGCTAGAGTGATGGCTACTGATTACATTTTCACCCCCTGCATTTCATTGCATTTCATTGCATTTTCATTCCCCTGACATTTTGTCAGCAACTATAAGAGCCCAGCTGTTGCCCATTGGACTCTTTGAAGTTAGAGATGCACTTATTTTAAGAGGCAGATGAAAGCAGTGCTCTCCAAAGGTGGGCAGAAGGGTACCTTAACTTGCAAAAAAAAAAAAAAAACCCTCACCCAGAAACTTGACTCTGACATTGCCAGAGCTCCCCTCTGAAACCACACCAACCACACCACCAGAGAGCCCTGCAGAGATCCAGCCAGGCTTGGGGTGTCTTAAGAACTTGGTCTGAAGCAAACAACTGCTAACTGCAAAGAAACCCAACTGCAAATAAGCTGTCTATGTAAATTTACAAGAGATCGGGTGGGAGTGAATGTTCACTTACATGAATTTTCAACTAGTAACCAAATATCTTATGTAACCAGAGAAGGGGTTGGGCAGAGGCCTCCCTAGACCTGCCCTCCACTTAGGAAAGCAAGTAGAACTGTTAGAGCTTGAACTCTGAGCCTGGTAGCTGGGTGCAAACCCTACCTGCCTCTTATTGGCCAGGCAGCTTTGAGTAGTTTCAAACCCCACAGGGGAGTCTGGGTGATTCTCACTCACATCAGTGTGTTACGGTGTAGCTTCCTGCCCATCAAGTCAAGGTCCTGCAGATTCAACAGGGACGTCCTGCTCCATGTTATCCGGGATCCCTTAGACACCAGGGTACCCTTTTCCTGATGCATCCCACCCTTGCTGAAGTTCAGTTCTGGGCTTCCCAGTGGTGAGTACTCCCATGGCTCCCTCTCTCTTCTCCCCTCCCAGGGCTCAGAGCTGAGCAGGAACTGAGGCTGGGGACTGATGGATCTGAGGAGGCTGAGCTCCTAGAAGCCGAGGGCCTCCTCCAATTACTGCGCCACAGGGAACATAGAGGGTCAAAGCTCCAGGCTGGAGGTCAGGAGCCCTGGTGACCTCAGGCAGAGGGAGCCTTCTCTGTGAGCTTTTTTTCTGATGGACAAGGAGGCCCATGGCTTCCAGTTTGGTTCACATAAGTGAGGAAATTTTAGGCAGTACCCAGAAGAATCCTTTTCACTGAAATAGTTATGTAATTATTTTAATGTGTATTAGAAAAAATATAATTAGCACATCCATGATTTTGTGAAAATTGATAAGGGCAAGTGAAAGGGGGCGGGGAGATGAGCATATGTAGAAAAAGAATGCTAGGCACACAGTGAGAAGAAATGGTACAATACATGATGGAAATTGGAAGCCACTGGGCAATAACGATGCAGGCTTGTGCCCTGGGACCGAGTGACCTCTGCGGTACCTTCAGAGCTGATGTCATGCTCTCTCCCAGTGTCAGGCGTCTGGCTGACAGAGTGCGGGAGAGAAGAGAAGGAGGGGTTTCACCTGGCTGTGCTGCCATGACCTAGAAGGGACTCACACCTGGACCCCTGCACTGCTCCCCACCCAGCAAGGCACTGTGCTGTGGTGGCCAGAAGGAGGGACACCGCCAGGCCCCTGGCTCCAAGTCCCCATACTGACTCCTCCCCGTGTATGACCTTGGGCAGATCAAACTGTCTTCCTTTCCTCAGCTGACAAGTGGGAGCAGTGATTGGTCTTGTTAGGGACTGACTGCAAGGGACAAGGGTGTGGGGGTATCTGCATATGCACACAGATGTACAACACGCCTGGCATGCAGTACACTCAGTGGGTACAGTTGCCTATTGTTCTTAATGTGCATCTATGTGGTGGGAGGCAGGGTCTCCCCACTCCTGCCAAGGGGTTCCCATTGGCACCTCAGCCCACTCCTCAGGCTCCTGTCTGTGGGAAGCAGCGTAGAATCCAACGGGGGTGAGGGCGAGGAGGCCAGGGCTAGAACACAGATCTCCTTCCTAGCTTCCAGCACAAGCCTCCTTCCTAGGTCAGCAATTCTCCCCAGACGGAACTGGGCTTCTCTGCAGAGGTTCCAAGAGCTCCTCAAGTGTCCCTGGGAAGGTCGTCTAATCCAGGTTCTGGTTCCCTCAGCTCACCCCCAACCCTGGTGGCCTGGGTCACCTCCAGGAACCCCTGCTGCCCTGGCTTTGGGCAGTGCTGCAGATGTGTCACCCACGCCCTGCAAAGCCCTGTCCGCCCTGGGTCTGCGTCCCTGAAGAGCCACTGCAGCCTTCATCCTCCATCTAACCCAGGACTGTCAGTCATCACCTGCTGGCCCTGACTTCCAACTTGGTATTATGAAAGCCACCCTAGACATAGTCACCTTCCCCGGACCATCAGTATTTCTCCCACAAAGAGACCCTCATGTGTTCCTGGGTTTCACTCTGCACATTCACAATGCATTTTCTAAATGCTAATCCAAACCCCCTGCTGCACAGATTTCTGCTGGAGAGGACACCAAACTTTCCTGACTCCTGGAACCCGGGCATCATCCCTCTCTCGGCCCTCCCCTGGGCACAGCATCTGTGCGCCTCCTAGGCTCCAGCCAGGAGCTGCGTGTCTCTTGCCTGGACTCAGGGCAGCCAATCACAGCAGGCCAGGATGGCCCTCTCTCCTGCTTGGGAGCTGATCCCAGATCAGAGGCGCCCCCACCCCTGCTCCCTCCCCTTCTGGGTGTGTCGCCGCCGTTTGAAGCTTAATCAGGTAAAGTGTACCTGGCTCCTGGTGCTGTGGCAGGGAAGCCAGGCAGAGGCTGCCACAGGTGCTGCAGGGCAGGCAGGCCGCACAGGAGTCCTGCAGTCCCCTGGGAGCCACTGGCTAGATCAGCTGCGCTGGAGGAGCGAATCCCAGAGAAGCAACCGGTAATTGTGAACGTGGTGGTTGAGGGATGCGTCGGAGTTCAGTACCAAAATAGAGAGAGGAGGGGGGCCAGGAACACTGTTTACTCAGGGCTCAGTCACCCCTAGTGGGTCTCCTACTCAGAGGGAAGGAAACAGAGCCCTGCCACCTCCGAGGGGAGAAGGGAAGATTAGCTGTGTGGCCGAGGGCATTGCCACCAGCCCATGCTGTCCCCGGAGAGCCCACTGGCTTTGGTCTGATGCCTGTCAGTGTCCAGAGATGACAAAAAGATTTTCTGGATGGGAATCAGTGAGGGGAGGCTTTTTGGGAAGAAGCAAAAACATGATGGGGTCAGGTAGGGGAGTGCCTATGCCTGTTCTGAACTTGCAAGCCAAATGGCTCTAGGAGGTACGGGGCAGTGGTTGGAGAAAAGGCCTCCTGAGCACACTGCTTGAGCACAAATCCCAGCTTTGTCACTAAGCAGCTGTGTGACCACAGCCCATTTGCTTATCTGAGTCTCTGTTCCAGCACTGGTTAAATGGGTTAATAACAGTATCTGCCTCATATAATTATTATGAGAATCAAATGAGTGAAGCACTTAGACTAGTAGCTAGCACAGGGCAAATGCTCTGTCTACATATAGTCTCTCTCTGTCTCTCTGTCTCGCTCTATCTGTCTGTCTCCCTACAGTACTGTGGATGGAACCCACAACCTCGTGAACACTTGGTAAACACTCTTGTGCCTATTTTTGTTGTTCTTAATTTTACTATTTACTGGAAGTATGATCTCCCTTAAGCTCAGTTTAGCTCTCAGAGCCCTGGTTTCTTCATCTGTAAAAGGGGTACAAAGTTGCCTAGAAGGGAAGTTGAGATTAAATAAGTTGGTAGCAAGGGGCAGGTGTCCAATGAAGAGTATCTTGTCTCCTTCCCCGTGATGTGATTCCAGATTCCACTGTTAGAAAACCGTATTTCTGCCCCTTTTCTGGAGAAAGTAGTTGGCATGGATGAGTTTTGTATTTTCAGGCCCCTGACCTCTGTTTTGCTGATCAGGCATAGTAGATGTGGCTTGTGAGAGTGGTGGCTTTGCCATAACTATGTACAGGGTCAGTGACACTCACATAGGACTGTAAGCCTGAACATTGGCTCACCCTCCACCTGAGCCTGCTTTTCAGGCATCTGAAGGATGTGGGGTGTGGCGCTGGGCCCTGTCAGAGGCAGAGGTGTATGGGGTGCCATTCTGCTTTCCAGGAGCTCCTTCCTCCTTAAGAAAGCAAGATGCAGATGTGTGGGATGGTAAGTGGCAAGGAA